TTGCAATTATTTAATAACTATAGGTATAATGTGTATGATTTATGTATGATAGGTGTTGATGTATGCTTGTTTGAAAAAAATATGGTTTTAAAATAAAATCGTTCGCGTTATTTGTGAATATTTAAAAGTTATTTGTTAGGTATTTAACCAATAATCAATATAGATTTATGATTCTACGACCTTATACTATAAATGTTATTGCGATACAGAACCAAGATAGGTAACTTTTATCCATTCTATGAGTTCTAGAACGCCAACCCCTGGATTATTCTAACATTAGGTGAAATAATATTAATGATACCATTGAGTATAATATATATTGTTGTACAATATAGGTACGTATACTCAATGATGATAGGTATAATGGTATAAATATTTTTTTTTAAGTCCGGGAAAAAATTTAATATTTTTTACGTAACTACCTATTTAGTGTATGATAATATATTATATATCTACCCAAAATATTTTTTTTTGCCTATAACAACTATCTATACCTACATCATTGCAGTTAATGATTATAAATAAGATAGGAAGGTATAGATATATAAAGTATAAAACCTGTATAAAAATCGATTTAAGAAATAATAATCGTGATTTAAAATAGCTTAAAAAACATTTGTATGTTCACAGTCTATTTTTTTTTCACTACGGTAATTTCACAACATTCAATGCAGGATGTCCCGGTTGAACACTGTGTGCGAGTGGGCTGCACACGAAACCGTTTTTTGTAGTGGACTGTATGAGGGAAGGTAAATAGAAGTAGGTAAAAGATATTGTAACTCCAAATAAGGTGATCAAACAATGAAAAAATGTATTATGAATACAAACAAATAAAAGAGGGTTCGAACCACTTAATATTACTTAAAACAATAACAATAACATTGATGACAAAAAAATAATTAAGTAGGTACGACCTGGTCGACCTGGTGAGATACGGACGATGACGGCGAAAATTGACAACACTGCTGGCTGATGAACGATGAGAGTTGTGGACGGCGGTGTCGCAGACTGTGCGTGCGTGACGGAGACTCACGATTACGAACAAACGTTGGACAAGCACGCCAAATTAAGATTTAAGGGTGCGACGACGTTGCATTTGAGCGTTCAACGGTTAGACCGGAAGAACTCGGCAGTTTGGGTACGCTGACACTAAACACCAGCACATCCGATTGTAAATCGGATGGCGCTCAAAGGCAAAAAAATAACAAACAAAACGGAAAGCGGTGGTTGCGGGCACGTACGTCGCAATAACGATAACGCGTGATCGGCCCGGCAAAACTGAAAACGGTACGTCGACACTGACGGTCGGACCGTGTGGGTTCGCGACGACGAATATACACAACTTACAGGAACGCGTAACACGACGCGATTTTGGACGATACCGGGTCGCATTCATTCGTTTTTCGTCATCCCAAATAAACAAAAAGCGGACAACGACACCATGATATGGACGAGAACAGAAGAACACGAGACGGGTGGGTTTTTCGTACTCGCACGCGAGAGCGGTTCAACGGCGACAACGACGGAGCAAAAAAAACGTATTCAAAACAACGCGAGATAACGCGTCCGTGACGGCTGATACGACCGGCGGCAACGGTTGGTCGCGACAAAAACAGCTGTGTCGGCGACGGCACCATAGAATAATATAGAAGCGACACTCGCCCCTCCACTTTAATTGTTTTTATTTCGTGGCGGACTGATTGATGTTGTAAGCTTGGCGGTAAGGCATGATGTTAGGATCGCTTTTATCGCCGAAACAGAACGCTCGAGACCAGCCCGCCAAAGTTTAAAAAAAAGGTCACTTCATAGTACTATCTTAGATTAAATAACCATATAATATATATTTTATAGTACATAACACATAAGTACATAACTATATAATAATAATGTTATAATGACTATGTACCTATATTGTTTGATGATACTACCATACATATTATATAAACATATTTATAGAAAGCCATATTCGAGGCAAAAAAAAAAAACCATAAATACATTAAGAAAAAAGGTGGGTAAGTGGATGTCGATCTGCTGTACAGTAGGTTACAAGTGGGTCACTGTATAATTGATGCTGTTAAATTTGAATTCAATGATACAATATCATTATATAAGAAAAACGATTCTGAGCGAAGACGGTATGTCAGTCTAGGTTTAAGACAAATTATATACATATCTATGGTATTAAAAAAAAATTGACCTATAATAAATTCCAAATTAATCATATCACATTATCACAATATCCATTAGGTACTTATAACACGTTATACACCAACAACAAACCCTGATACTATCATATATATATAATACTACACTTTAGAAGTTTCAAGTAGGTACCCACGAATAATATTATATAATCACAACAAAATAACTAGGTTCTTTAATATGTAATTTCGTCCAAATTTGAACATAAAATGACTGTAAAAATAATCTGCGATTGTATATTTTTTAGATTTTTCGGTAAGAGAATTAACTATACTTACGTGGAATCTTGTTTTAAATTTTCAATCCTTAGCTATGAAAACTGAACATTTTCTAATTTATTAATTACGATGATTAATAATTTTCGAGATTTTGAAAAATTCTGTCAAAATTCGATGTTAAAATGCTTATAAAAAAAATTGTGCCTATGTATTTTTAATATTTTTCAAATGATATTGTAAGAATATATCAGGAGCCTTGTGTTACATTTTTACACTTTTTGGCCCAACAGATAAAACTTTATTGATATTTATAGAAAAAAAAAAAACTAAAAAAATTGAAAACTGAAAATGTCCGTAAACGGCTCAAAAAGAGTCGAAATATTTTCAAAATTGTATGGTGTATAGGAAATGCCAATATAAACATTCAGTGAAATTTTCATGTATCTACAGTAATTCGTTTTTTAATTACAACAAAAAAAGGAAATTGCGAAAATGAGAAATCGAGTGAATATCCAATGTTGTAAAAATTTGAATTTCAAACGCTCATAAAAATTTAATTTGACTTTCCGTTAGAAATTTTTTTATTGATAAAGGTAGACAATCTTATGAGTAATCTTGTATTAGATTTTCAAATCTTAGATTTAAAAAGAAAAAATTTTACGAATTCTTAACTCAAAATAATTTGCTAATTTTCGTGATTTTTCCATATTTTGTCAATTTTTTAACTTTAAATGCTTATAAAAAAAAACTGTGACTTACGATTTTTAATATTTTTCATCTGCCTTTGAAACAATATACTAGGAGCCTTATATTAAATTTTCAAGTTTTTTTAACCAACAAATAAAATTTTATTGATATTTCTAGAAAAAAAAACTAAAAAAAAATGAAAATGTCCCTAAACAGTTCAAAATAAATCAAAATATTTTGAAAATGTTATCGTGTATAGAAAATGCAAATATAAACAACCAGTGAAAATTTCATGTCATTTGTTTTAAAGTTACACCAAAAACCAAATTCGATTTTGTCAAAAACCGATTTTGCTTAAAAATTCCCGTTTTTCCCGGCGCTTGTGAAAAGGTGCTAATTGTTTGGATGATTTAGACCAAGTATTGACTACCCTGAGCAAAATACCAGCAGAAGATTTGAAAACAATATTCCCTGACAAGCAGAAAGTAATTCACATTAATTCATTACCCATTGATGCAACCCATTACAAGTCATTAGAATTACCAGAAAGAAATGCTTTTACATATATATGTGGTTATTTGATTATGAAATGTTTTAACATGCATTCTTGTGAGTTGTGAAACATGTATAGGATATGGCAGATCTACCACAAAGTTATCTGATGAACTTTTTTTTACACACTTCAAAGCACATCAACACAGTTCTATATCAATGTTTTCATCGTTAATGACCCCAGATTGTACTTTTTACTAGTATATTTTTGAATTAGACACTATATTTACAAATCAATTTCCTCCTTTGCACCATTACCAAAAGTAGGGCAAAAACTAAAAACTTTAATGTTAAATGTGTACTTTGAACATCCCTGTGAACAATTCCCTCATGAATATGTGTTAAACTTATTTATAAGATTTAGAATTTATAATACGTTAACCAGAACCAATCGAAATTTGCAAATTCCTCGCACAAAAAATAGAAAATTGCAAATTTTATGTAATTTATAAATATTTTTATGTATATATTATTTTTTTATTTGATAATGTAGTTAGTAATTTTGTATAAAACATGGTCTTTAAATAAAAGAATTTAAAAAGTAGTTATTAATTGGTTATTTTATGTTAAAATGTGTTGTTATATCATTTTATTATCTAGTTTGTATATTTTGTATTTAAGTAAATTGTAATTCTCTACCTTCAACCATAGAACATTAATGTTCTATGCTTTAACACAAGCATGTCTTATACCCTTATAGAAGGTAGATAATGCATTGTATATGTTAAATAATAAGTAGGTACCTATATACGTTAATACATTAATAGGTATCTGAAAAAACTATTTACAATATTATAAAATAAATATCTTAAAAAAATATACTATCTGTAATCCGTCCATCGATCATATTCATGTCGTAAAAGTGGTAAAACATTAAAAATTAAAAAAATTGACGTAGTATTATTATAATTTATAAATTGTAATACTCTTATCGCACGATTATCAACAAGAATGATGTTGTAAGCTTGGTGGTAAGATAAGAAGTTACGAACAATTTCAAGGCCATGAAACATTCTAGACTCATTAGCGTTGGCCGCCCGAGAGTGTCGCTTCTATATTATTCTATGACGGCACTGATCAGCGGCGGCCGCGTAAAAACGCACGCACGCGCGTATGAGTGTGTACGCGACGTATTGTAGTTCTGTACCGAACATTTTCTCCCCACGTTGAAAGACGAAGAACTTTCAAAATGAAAGCCGAGCTGAAAGACTGGTGTTTTTTTTTTGAATTTCGCGGTCGACCAAGTGATAATCCTCCTAACAGTTACACATACATAAAAAAAAAAAAATACAGTGGTTTTTATTAAGCCAAGGAAAAAATCGAGGAAATGGAAAAGCATGGTCACGGTTCGATAGGCAACCGCACAAGCTTCACGACCGGACGCTTGAAAACACCGTCCTGGGTGCGCACAGAGACGACCCGAACGACTTCGTCGGAGCCCGGGTGAACGTCGATTATGCGCCCTAGACGCCATTCTGTTGGTGGCCGAGAAGGAGCTTCTACAATTACCAGATCGTCGATTCTCAAATTCGGAGACTGTTTGAACCATTTGTGACGGGACTGAAGTGTGGACAAATACTCGCGAGACCATCTTTTCCAATACGATTGGTGACATTGCTTGATGAGTTGCCATCGATTCAGCCTAAGGATCCTTATATTAGTGGTATCGGGTTCGGGAAGTGCATGGATGGGCTGTCCGATCAAGAAATGACCCGGGGTCAACGCACTTAAGTCATGCGGGTCAGACGATGTCGGTGTGATAGGCCTGGAGTTGAGTATACCTTCGATGCGAGTGATCAAGGTATGAAATTCTTCGTACGTAAGTACTTGTTGGCCTATGACATGTTTGAGGTGATGCTTGGCGCTCTTAATGCCAGCCTCCCAAATGCCACCAAAGTGTGGTGCGGCCGGAGGATTGAAGTGCCATGTACAAGTTAGGTGCGAAGACAAACGGTCTTGTGCCTTAGCATCACGAAACAGAGACTTGAGTTGCCGTGCCGCACCTACGTAATTTGTTCCGCAGTCTGAATACAAGTTGGTTGGAATTCCGCGTCGCGCAACAAAACGATCCAATGCAGCAAGGAAGGCATCTGTGGTCAAATCGGTGACGACTTCAAGGTGAACCGCCTTCACAGACATACATACAAACAATGCCAAGTAAACCTTGACGGCTTGAGCGTTTCGTCGGCGATGCTCCCTCACGAGAAACGGACCGCCGTAATCCATTCCGACGTGGGAAAATGGTCGATGAGGCTGGACACGAAAGGGCGGCAAGTCAGCCATGGTTGGCTGGGGCCGGACGGCCTTGTGTCGTGTGCATGGGACACAGGAAAAAATGACACGTCGCACAGCGGCACGACTGGACAAAATCCAAAATTTCTGGCTTAACATTGATATGATTAACTTCGGCCCACCGTGAAGAAAGGATAAGTGATAATGTCTGATCAACAAGTCCGTGAGATGTGATGATCGAGGCAGAAGAATCGGGTGCTTCGCTTCATGATGGACGTCTGAGAATCGTAGGCGGCCTCCAACACGTATGACTCCGTTGACGTCGGTGTAAGGCGCCAGTTGCGCCAAGGAGGATGGTGTAACCTCAGACTTGGTTTTTAACATATTTGACAAATCCGAGAAGTGGTGTTGTTGAGTCCGTTGTACGACGACAAATAATGCTGCTTCGCGTTCCGCTAATGTCAACGGTCCAAAGTTGACAGACTGGCGACGGAGACGACGCAAAAATCGGAGGACAAATGACAAAACTCGTTGCAATTTGCTGAGTGACGAAAAACGACTGAACAACTCTAGCGACGGTGATTGAACATTGACGGTTAACACTGTGGTAACATTAGGTCTAGTTTCGGGCAACTGATCCGGACTTAATGGAGAGAATTTGGACTTTGGCCACTGTTCTTCCGGAAGCTGTAAAAAGTCGGGACCGTCCCAGTAGATTTTTGATGCCACGGTCGATCGCGGCAAAAGCCCGCGAGAGGCAGGATCTGCCGGATTGTCAATTGTCGATACGTGATTCCATTCACAATCAGGTATAAGCCGGTGGATTTTCGCGACTCGATTGGTGATAAAAATCTTGAAATATTTCTGATCTGATTTCAGCCACGACAACACAATAGATGAATCCGACCACGCTCGGATGCGAGATATGGATATTTCAGACGAAAGGACGTAGTGGGTATGTTGAAGCGTCTGTGCCAGTAGTAACGCACCACATAACTCCAAACGCGGTATGGACAACGTTTCGGTGGTAGTGGTAGTCTTAAGAGGGGCAACTTTAGTTTTGCACGTGATCAATTTGACCGACACATCTCCATCTGCATTGACAATTCGTAGGTAAATGGTCGCTGCATAACCTTTGGTAGAAGCATCTGCAAAACCCAGCAATTGAATGTCTTGCTGAGATGTCACCGGAAAATGACGAGGAAGAATTAAGTCAAAGACGGCTGGCAGCTCCAAACAAAATTGTCGCCACGTGGACAATAACTCTTCTGGCATTGGATCGTCCCACCCGAGTTTATTGCTCCACAGTAACTGCATAAAATATTTCGCCCACAATAGCAACGGGCCTAAAGCGCCGATGGGGTCAAACAAACGTGCAATGATTGACAGAACTTGCCGTTTGGTAGACGACGTTTGAGGGATGCTGGTGTGGTAGGCGAAATTGTCATTAGTTGTGTTCCAATGTAGCCCAAGAACTTTTACCGAATGTTCATCCCGTGGGTCAAATGATACGGAATTCGCACGATGGTCAGGACTGATGGACCCTAGGACGAGAGCACTATTGCTGGTCCATTTGCTCAGTTCACAAGCCCCGTTGTGGAGCAAACCGACGATTGCCTCTTTTCGACGTAGAAGTTGCTCTTCCGTGTCGGCACCGACAACTATGTCGTCAACATAAGCTGATCGATTGAGGACACCTTTGGCCAACGGGAAGAGATGACCGTCCTGCTCATCAAGCTCGTGTAAGCAACGGATGGCCAGATACGGAGCGCAATTAAGGCCATATGTAATGGTACATAACTGGTATTCCTGAATATTCTCACTGGGTGAATCGCGCCAAAATACATGTTGAAAGACGCGATCTTCAGAACGGATTAAAATTTGCCGATACATTTTAACAATGTCGGCGGTCAAAATAAATCTGTGCAACCGACAGCTTAATAAGATGTCACACAAGTCCACTTGTAGTTTGGGACCAGTGCACAAAACGTCGTTTAAGGAACGACCAGACGAAGAAACAGACGAGGCATCGAAAACAACGCGTATTTTCGACATGTCACCGTCAGCCTTGAGTACGGCGTGATGAGGTATAAAATATTTGCCGGGTTCGGGAGCTAACACCATGTGGCCTAACCTTAAGTATGTGGACATAAACTGCCGATAGGCGGCATACAACTCCGCGTCCTTAGTCAACCGTCTCTCCAGGTTGTGAAAACGCTTTAACGCGATGGACCGAGACTCACCAAGGCCGTGAGGTGACGAAGTTTGAAGGTGGACCGAATTGGTAAACAAATCGTGAAACGGTAAGGCGACGCAAAATCGGCCTGACGAATCACGTGACGTAGAATTTTTAAAAAATGTCTCACACCATTGGTCTTCAGTGGTGGGTGATACAGAGGCGGCAGGTTCTTCGATTTCCCAAAAACGTGACAGTTGATCGTTGATTGACTGATCGACGGCGGTTGTAAGAGCGACTAACGGCGGGGTATTTGATGTAGAAAAGGATCCAAAGATTATCCAACCAATTTTGGTGTCCAGAGCCGATGGGAAACCCGCATAATGTTCAACGCCAGCCTGTGAACGAATGAGGTTAGGAAAGACATCCGCCCCAAAGAGGACGTCGATTCGCGCTGGGACGTCGAATTGCTTATCAGCAAGTAAAAGATGTCGATACCGATGACGTACGTTGGACGGCACATGTGCGGACGGCATGGCTGCCGTGATGTGCGGTAAAACAACCATATCTACTGTGGGAAACACGTATTTTGAATCAAAATGTGAAGTGAATTGACACCTAGTGACACCTTGAATTTGAGTAATAGGGCTTTGTCCGAGTCCAACGATGTTGGACTGGAAACGATTTCGGGGTAACCCAAGTCGAGCTGAGCAATTGTTTGTCATGGCTGAAAGTTGAGAGCCACTGTCTAGAAGTGCACGAACTGCATGAGTTTGTCCCCACGCATCCTTAATGTGAACGATCGCGGTGCCTAGCACAACAGTAGAGTTAGCACGAGCTGCACCCACGAATGACGTAGTATTTTCGTTTACAGATGTTGACGGGGTCTCCGCAGTCGATGACTTATAAGAAGTAAGATGGAGTAAGGAATGATGCTGTTTGCTGCTACACGAACGACAGGCACTTTTTGACGAGCAGGCCTTAACCATATGTGTCGGATTGAGGCATGCGAAACATAATTTTCGCGTAACAACAATATCGCGGCGTTTTTCAACAGATAACTCGTTAAACTATGGACATTGATATATGTTGTGATCGGCGTGATCACAAAACACACAGTTTCTCGAAACGAATTTAATAGAGGACCTATTTGGCGAAGACGTAGTCGCAGCAAGGACGGATTTTGTTGCAATGGTTGATTTCCCACGAACGGGTGCCTTTTCGCGCCATTTATCGACGCGATCAATTTTATTCTCGATTTTGTTGCTCAACTTAAGATTTTCTAAAATCTTACAACGCTGTTGAACAAAGTCTAATAGTTCACCAAATTCGGGAATTGTTGATTGAGATATACTAGACTCGAATAGGCGTAGTGTGGTTGGATCGAGCACACGCGATGCCATATGAAATAGTAAAAACCCGGCCAGATCATTGACACCGATGGATTTTATAATGGATACATTTTCTTTGAAAGTGTTGACAAATTCCATTAACGCGGGTAACGATTCTTGAGCTATCGGCTTAAAAGCGAAAAGTTTGTCTAGATGTGCCGAGGCTAATAATCGTGTATTGTCGAAACGATCCGACAGTGCTCCCCACGCAATGGCATAATTTTTCGCAGTGAGAGGCACGGATTTAATAACTGACAGCGCAGAACCAGACAAACGTGAAATTAAATAATGAAAACGTTCCGCGTCATCAATACTCTCATTATTGTGTACAAGAGATATGTATATGTCGCGGAAAGATCGCCATTCTAATATCGAACCGTCAAATGAAGGTAATTCTATTTTTGGTAACTGTATGCGTGACTGTATGCGCGCGGTATTAACACCGGTTGGTTCTGAACGCACAGAAGGTTCGACGAGAACGTCGTCGGAAATCGCCATAATCAGATAATAGTTTTCCGACAGCTTGTTCCCAATAGGTACATGAATTGAGTTATACTCTTCCTCGCGTTGGAGTTGAATCAAAATATCAAGAATAGAGTCTTGCTCGAGCGAACATTGGGTGCGCAAACCACCAATGTCCTTTTTCCTAGCGCGAAACAACGGCAGGACATCCTTATCTGTTGCAACCTTATGCGCCAAGTCACATAACAATTGAACTTGTGACACTAACATATCGCGTTTAGCGATTGTGCGCTTAAGCAACCGCTCTGCGCGCTCAATTTCACCGGCAGAAAGAGGCATTGTAAAAAGTATAACCGTACGTGAACGTTTTCGAAGGACGTCCGATCCCGACTCACAGGCGCACGCACTTACACGGTACGATTAATTATGATAACGACGGTCTACGATAGCGAAAATACACAATAAACCAATTCGTATCCGGTTCGAAGGACCAAAATGTGTGCGAGTGGGCTGCACACGAAACCGTTTTTTGTAGTGGACTGTATGAGGGAAGGTAAATAGAAGTAGGTAAAAGATATTGTAACTCCAAATAAGGTGATCAAACAATGAAAAAATGTATTATGAATACAAACAAATAAAAGAGGGTTCGAACCACTTAATATTACTTAAAACAATAACAATAACATTGATGACAAAAAAATAATTAAGTAGGTACGACCTGGTCGACCTGGTGAGATACGGACGATGACGGCGAAAATTGACAACACTGCTGGCTGATGAACGATGAGAGTTGTGGACGGCGGTGTCGCAGACTGTGCGTGCGTGACGGAGACTCACGATTACGAACAAACGTTGGACAAGCACGCCAAATTAAGATTTAAGGGTGCGACGACGTTGCATTTGAGCGTTCAACGGTTAGACCGGAAGAACTCGGCAGTTTGGGTACGCTGACACCAAACACCAGCACATCCGATTGTAAATCGGATGGCGCTCAAAGGCAAAAAAATAACAAACAAAACGGAAAGCGGTGGTTGCGGGCACGTACGTCGCAATAACGATAACGCGTGATCGGCCCGGCAAAACTGAAAACGGTACGTCGACACTGACGGTCGGACCGTGTGGGTTCGCGACGACGAATATACACAACTTACAGGAACGCGTAACACGACGCGATTTTGGACGATACCGGGTCGCATTCATTCGTTTTTCGTCATCCCAAATAAACAAAAAGCGGACAACGACACCATGATATGGACGAGAACAGAAGAACACGAGACGGGTGGGTTTTTCGTACTCGCACGCGAGAGCGGTTCAACGGCGACAACGACGGAGCAAAAAAAACGTATTCAAAACAACGCGAGATAACGCGTCCGTGACGGCTGATACGACCGGCGGCAACGGTTGGTCGCGACAAAAACAGCTGTGTCGGCGACGGCACTGATCAGCGGCGGCCGCGTAAAAACGCACGCACGCGCGTATGAGTGTGTACGCGACGTATTGTAGTTCTGTACCGAACAAACACAATTATTTTACCGCGGTGAAAATCACGGGGAGATTTCACACTCGTTGTCCACCTATTCGCCGCTCACACAAAAATATTTACCGTATAGCATTTTACGGGGAGATTTCAGAAATTTTGAATAATTTAAGTAAAAAAACTTGTGTAAATATATTTAAGAATTCGTTTATATCAATAAAAAAATCTATTATTACATAATTTGTGTTCTGTACATTAAATAATTATTTCATTTTAATAATAAGGTTTGTTGGGGAAAAAAACCATTTAGTGTGTACACGGTAAATATTTTTGAGTAAGCGGCAAAACCGATTTTGAGTGTGCAAACTCCCTGTAACTTTAAAATACGGTAAATATTTTTCTGAAACGAAGAATTCGTGGACAAAAATTGTGAAATCTCCCTGTAAAATGCTATACGGTAAATATTTTTATCTGAGGCGCGAATAGGTGGACAACGAGTGTGAAATCTCCCCGTAAAATGCTATACGGTAAATATTTTTATGTGAGGCGCGAATAGGTGGACAACAATTGTGAAATCTCCCCGTGATTTTCACCGCGGTAAAATAATTGTGTTCAACCGGGACATCCTGCATTGAACGTTGTGAAATTACCGTAGTGAAAAAAAAATAGACTGTGAACATACAAATGTTTTTTTAGCTATTTTAAATCACGATTATTATTTCTTAAATCGATTTTTATACAGGTTTTATACTTTATACATCTATACCTTCCTATCTAATTTATAATCATTAACTGCAATGATGTAGGTATAGGTAGTTGTTATAGGCAAACATAAATATTTTGGGTAGATATATATATTGTCGTATACGCCACGCAAAGGCTTGACGTATATAACAGATATGTTTCGGTTTCCGATTCTCTAACCGTCGAACGAGTAAATTATCGACACCTGCTGTATGAGTTTAATTTAATTTCTCCTTTTGGTGACCACGATAACGAGTACTGCGCAAAAGGATAATTAAATAAAAGTCCAGCAGGATTTACACTATACAACTCTAAGGTTATTTTACTCCCGAACAACTGACCACGATAACGAGTACTGGATGTTCGAGGGTGAGGTATCTTTTACCTAGACAAAGTCTTACTCTTTCTCGACTGACCACGATAACGAGTACTGGGCGAGAAAGTAAGTACCACAGTGTCTTACTACCTGTTTTTAAAAGTGTTATTCACCACAACGTCTCTGTATCAACTCGTAAGGTAAAATATTCTAAAAAAAGGCGTAAAGAAAAACAGTGACACTTGGTTTTTAAAAAAAAGAATTAAATATAATAAAATATATCAAAAACAAATAATAAAAAGAAACGTAAAAATACTTTCAGCTCGTTGGCTACTACAATAATCGAAACAAACAAAACAACAGCCCCGCTCCCGTCGCAGACGTCGCCTAAGTAGTCGTGGCAATTTTGCTGACTCGGTTTGATTGACTTTCTGCTTCGTATGTTATTTTAATATTTTATAATTTCATTATATATACAACAATATTATCATACACTAAATAGGTAGGTAGGTACGTAAAAAATATTAAATTTTCTCCCGGACTTAAAAAAAATATATTTATACCATTATACCTATCATCATTGTCAGTGCCGGAGCTGGGTATTGCAGGGCCCTGAACATAGGTAATAGAGGGCAAAATTCTAGCTTTTTTTAAATTAATGCTATTTTTATTTGAATTTTAAACATTAAAAATAATAATATCAGATTATTCATATCCTTTTTTTTTTTTTTTTAAAATGTATTAACAAAAAATTATTTACAAATTTGAAAATTATAATTTAATAAATTCGTGGGGGACTTATTATTTTATTAATTTATATTTATTTTAATAATCACAAAAAATCAATTAAAAATAAATAAAATCATCAAAATGTTTGAATGATATAATAAATTGTTTAATATCTAAGTACGCGGTGGTAGACAATAAAATATGTTAAAACTAATCCTGATACACTAGATACGCAAGCAGTAGGTAAATATTATTATTTAATACTGCTATACTGTATCTAAACTGAATCGTAATAATAATTTCATAAAATGAAAACTTACTTTTATGATATTATGCAGAAATTGTTGAAAAAATACTCTAAGGGGTAAAGCGGACAGCAGTCAAATACTCAAATGTCGAACATATAATACTAGATAATCAAATAAATATTTTAAGGATATAGCTCTTGCCGCTTCTATAATACGGTCATACGACAATACGCGGAAAGCTTTTCCAAACAAAGAACAGAAAAACAATAACTATAAAGATAATAAATATTCATAATTATAATATTATGGTTAGGTTACTCATTACTCTTACAGTCCTCGAGTATCGTCAAAATATTACTCCTTCGTCGTATCGATAACGATTTACTTTGTACTATGGCTAAATTTAGATATCATTTTCCAAATAATTAATGATAGAAATAATATTAATATTAATATATTATACAAGTGCAGTATAGTACAACAAATGTATAGATTTATAATTTATTAATATAAAATGTCAATGTGTTTCACGGTATTACGATGACATTAAAAATCGCGGGGCTTGTTAGAAACTAGAAAGCGAGGGGCACTGAACATATGTCCCATTTGTCCTCCCATAGAGCCGGCACTTATCATTGAGTATACGTACCTATATTGTACAACAATATATTATACTCAATGTTATCATTAATATTATTTTTCAAGACAAAACTTTTGGGACTGGACTCGAATTAGTACGTCACTAGTACACCCCCGTACGAAATGCCAATAACTTTTGAAGGAGTAGAGCACTAACGACCGGATGAATAACACACTGAAGGACTAACGAAGCATAAACGAATAAAAGATTTTTGGACACAAAATTCGAAATCTAAATTAGCATGTCCTTAGAACCCCCTGTAGGAAATTCAAATACAATTTAAGGGATGGAGCACTAACGACGGGATAAGAAGCACTAACGTGCACTAACGAAGCACAAACGAATGAAATTTGTTTGGGCCCGAAATTCGAAATGGGGGGTGCAGGCATGTCCCCAGCACCCCCCTGTACGAAATGCGAATAACTTTGGAACGGATAATGCACTAACGACGGGATAAGAAGCACTAACGACGGGATAAGAAGCACTAACGTGCACTAACGAAGCACAAACGATCGCCCCGGGTTTGGACCCAAAAATCGCAATGGGGGGTGCCGGGGACATGGACCTGAAATTGGGTTTATTGTTACGTAGTAACTTGCTTACTACAATATCATAATAAATAATAATGTAACTGCAGCAGTTAAATCTCGTCGGACCTCGTTTCCTTCGGAGTAAAACCTTTTCGATTGGTTACCATATCTGGTAATTGCATTATACCTACGTAGGTAAAACGTATAGTTCCGTATAATTATTATACTATGAAAATTAAAATGTAAATCGGTCGAGACGGGACCTATCAATTATTGTTGTTTTCTCGTCGTAAACGAGTGTTGAATGACGTTTGATCTCTCTGGTGAGTGCGTAACGGGTAGCTATGGTATT